AAACGGCAGAACAATTTTGAAAGCCGGGGGGGGGGGGGGCGAAAAAAAACGCAGCGCGCATTTCACGGCGATGGCCGCAGCGGCTCGCGGCTCGCGACGGCGCCGTCAAGTAAACAAGGCGTAATGATTCGGAGCGAGGGGAGCGGAGGGACCCCTCCTCCTCCTCCTCACGCTCGCCGCGAGGACAGTGGCCTGCCTCCGCACCTCCCGGGAGCGGCGCAAGGAGACGGGGGGAGGAGGAGTGAGGGGGACGGTCGCGTTCCCGTGGCGACGAGACATTAGCGGGCTCAACCCCCAGCACCTTGCCTCCTCCGCGTGCCCACCGCCCATGGGCAACCGGCGGCACCCCGCAAGCATCCCCCCCCCCCCCCTTCCTAATGTCCTCTAATGTACGAAAGCGAAACTGCGGGGACGTCGGCGTCGCAGGTCACGTATGGAAAGTTCAAAACATTATATTACACTGCGGTGACCAAACGGGTGGGAGAAATTGAACGCGCTCCGTGATGGAACGCGCACGATCTTGCTCGTTGCGCTGGACGGGCCCTCCCGCCATGGCGGGCCGCAACGGGTGCTACTGCCTGTAACGTCCGGGAACAGACCCAGCGGCAGTTGTTTATTAGCAAGGCCGACTCTGCCGATGAGACCCCAGAACGTTGAAAACCCGTCCAGACCATGCTTACTGTTAATTTATCAGTGACAGCAAGAATGGTGGAAAAAAAAAAACTTCATTATGTTATTTGAAATGACATAAGTTTGGGAATTAACCACCAGGAATGTGCCCAATATTGTGAGATCAGGGTAGCCAAGCCAGTTCCGAGCCTGGCGAGTATCTTACTTGCACGAGTGCTGCTCGCGAGGTGACCAGGAGATGACAGCACAAAAATGTAGTCTTGAATCTATCTGTACGGAGCCTGGCATGTTACTACTTGGCATACGGCGGTGGGGGGGGGGGGGGGTTGGTTTCATCAAGGTACTGCGGTGTCCTCCCACATGTCACGGAATCTGTACAAACATCTCAACACTGGCTCCTAAAGAGGAATCCTGGGACTCGGCCAGTGTTTCCTGTGTATATAATTGGCATCGCGATGAAAATAATTCAGGGGTATATCTCCAAAGATCAATGGGGGACTATTCTATGACACGCAAGTAACGGCTTTGAATTAAACCTGAAATTAAGAGTCACGCGCAACCTTTTGAATTGTATTTAAGCACTTTTTACAACTGCCTCCCCGAAGAGGTACACTTTTAAAGCGCTATTTTTTGTTTTAGTATTTTTTTCCGCTGTGTTGGGATGCATGCTGTGTGTGTACGGGAGCCGTAGTGCAGCGGTTAAGAGAGCTCCGCCACAAACGCGGGGACACGAGTTCGATTCCTGCTTATGGACAACACACGTGACAATTATCTGAACCCGTCCTGGGCCTCTCCTAGGTAGTCTCAGCCTCAAATGAGTACCCGGTGCTGTGTGTAAACATCGCAAAGGAGACAAAAGCGGCCTGACATGGTGCTGGCCACCCTAAACTATGTTTTTATTTTATCAGATAAGGCCTACTGAGCTGTATAGCTCTTTTTCAGAAGCGACCTGGCTACCACAAATGATAGCTCAACGAAGTGGCTTATCACGTGGAGATTAATAGCAGCCAAATACTCTGAACGCCCAACCCTTCGTGTGCCGTGCCGGCCTTCACTGGTGCTCGCTAACAGCACTTGCCACAACAGTCTGTTAAGCCTACATGGGGGATCTTTGTCTTCGTGTGTGTTGGGAGCAGCCATTTGCCGAATTTTTCCGTGAATGCGTAACAACTCCTCGCCCTCAAAAGTTTGTGTGCCCATCACTAATGCACTCGCAAACTTAATGCACTTTTAATGCCCCTCACGCTAATGGCTTTTTTTTTTGTCCGAGTAATTAATATGCAAATCCCAACGATTCTATTTTCATCAAGGCAACCGTTTTAATTGCCTTTTGCCGAAAATGGTGTAGCGTTAGTCCGAAGTGATTTCACATGTCATTGACCCGCGATTGGTAAAATCGAGCCCAACACGCTGACACGGGCCTTCGCCACAAGACAGCCTCATTTGCATATGCATATCGCGTGTGCGGCGGGATAAATCACCGCCCTGCCCGGGCCCCCGAGAATGCTAATTTTCGACTAATTCATGCAAATTGGCGCACGCACCGCGGCGTTTTACACACGCGCCGGGGGCGGGGGTCAGCCGGGGTCACGTAGTCCTTTCACTCATCCTCCTATCCCTCACCTTTATCCCGACGAAAAGTCAAACCACTTACACGATGCCATCCGGGCTCCTCGCCCGCGGGTGACGGCTGCCCCCCCCCCGTGCTTTACACGAACACGCGACGCCATGTCCTGCCTGCCCCCCATCCCCCACAGCCCCCCCCCCTCGCTGTCGCCGAAAGATGCGCGCAGCAACGTGTCGCGCTCGCGCCACGCTCGGTGGTGCGCGAGCGGTCGGACTTTGCCCCCCCCTCACCTCCCGTCCGCAACTTTGCCGTCGGACGACGAGAGCGACGTGTAACTTATTTCTGCGCTCCCTGTAGTCCGCGAGCCCCACACAACCAGGTGTCTCTCATGTCGCTACCACCACCTGAGTTGGCATGGCGAACCGGCGGGTTACAATGTCTCCCTGTGGCCAACAACAGTTTATTATTTTGAATGGCAATTTAAAAGGAGCGTTGAGGTTATCAAATAAAAAAACACGTAAATAAATGGGCACCACTAAAGATGTGCCCTGCCAACCTTGGGTGGTGCTAATTTCTCTGCGAGCAGCTCGCAACTGAAAGGTCACAAATTCAAATCCGTGTTGGGGCTGGGGTTGGCTCTCTGCCCGTGCGTCGATCCAATGTCAAACACATTCGCCACGGTGCCCAGAAAAAGTAACAGACACAGCCAAGAGAGAGCGCAACTGCATCTTTAGCACGGGAGGGTGCGCGGCCAAAAATATATTAAATGAGGGTTCAACGTGAATCTCCCCCCTCCGGCTTCAAAAATAAAACGACGCGACCAAAAAAAGCGCTTCCCCCATTTCTATCGCGGCAAAAAAATTGCCGCGTCGCAACGTGCAGTGTGAGTTTCTCTCGAGCGGGCGAGTTGGTCTATCATGCAGGGGGGATGTGTGCCGCACACAGAACGTGATTCGCCGTGATTGATTTGGGGGGGCGGGCAGTGTCTCCCCTCCCTCCCCCCCCCCCCAGTTTTAATACCACCAACTTTTGAGTCAATTAAAAAAATATTTTCGCATCAAACGGCACGGCGAGATAATACTCGCGGCGATGTTTGATGAACCCCAAACGTTTGGGCGATAACCAAAATGTTTTAACTCGCTAACAGATTCCCCCCCCCCCCCCGCCTTTATTGAGTTTGTTATGTAATTTATTAATTAACCAATTTAATGCCTTTAATTTATGGATTGATAGGGGAACACACATGTGGAAATTACACACGAGCACTTTGCACAATTAGACTTCCACGTAAAAGGTCATTAAACACAACTGTACTTCCGGTTCTATCCGACAGTTTACTTTGAAATGTCGTCTAATTAACAGTGTTGGATAGACTGAAAGCGCTGGAATACACAGTCCACCAAATGGTTGCAGCGCATCTTCAGCAGTACCAATTTATCAAGCCGTTGAAACTCGCAAATTTGTGAGCTCTGCGACGCGTTTTCCGATTGGTACCGCGGTGTTTGTCCGGCACGACGTCCGACGTGTAGCTCTAGGTGCCGCCGAGATTCTTCAGGAGCACAAGACAGCCCCAGCATCTTCTTGGTTCTTTCGGTAAAGTCACGTAGACCAAGAAGATGAATCCCTGCAGTCACGAAAGCTTTACATCGAAATTTAGCCCCAGCATCACCAGGTAGCAGTGTCCGCCCCCTAACTAGAGATCTAGTGAACAGAGAGACCTTTTTTTTTTTACGATCAGTGGAAACAAGAAGATGCTCGGTGTAGTCGGCACTTTGCTTCGTTCATCATTTCGTTGTTGTTTTTTTTTTTTATAATTTGCTTCATGTAAACCCCCCTCTCTGTCGAGACCCCGCTGCCTCTGGGCCAACACCCCTGGACCCAGTCTAATTCAGACATTTAGGCACATTCCCCAAGACACACCCCACCCCCCCAGGTCACTCTTATCCTCCCCGTCCCGTAGCCCGGCCAATCTCACAGTTGTAGACGCCATGCATTTTCATTCCTATGCAATAACAACGCGCTATGTGGACTCATAAAACGAGCGAACGTAATCGAAATTCTTAAGATGCACGATTTGACGCATGCATCTTGAGAGCAAGAACAGAACCATCAATCGACTGGTGCATTGTTACATGCCTAAGATTTACTCCACAGAAACCGATATTGTCACTTGATCTCCCAAGTTGACGTCCTCCCGGACACGTCCCATTTCCTCGGCTGCCACTCCTTTGCTCTTCCTGATCATCGGCCATCATCACCCATCTCGCGGCGCGTCCTGCCCAAGCCCAGCTTAAATGTTCTTAACAATTTGTACGACGTCACGAACCTGCGTGCGTTCTCCGATCCACGGGTTCTCCTCTTCCCGTCCCTCAACGCAATTCGAAGCACACACTTCTCCACGCTTCTTGACGCGCCTCCCAGCGTAGGTTTTTTTGTTTGTTCAATACATTTCGTGAACGTTCGTGCTTCCGAACCACGTGCGTCACATAGCAGGTTGCATACGTGAATAACATTGATGTGGTTTCGTTACTTATGTTCCTCTTCCCTTAACTCCCCCCATATAAACACACCTATGCTCCCGCTCGCAGTCCCTACACAAGTGGGGCGGTGAGCCCAATCTTCTCCCCTTGTCCATGGAGTTTCTGTGGCCCCCTCCCCTTGTTACGGTTTGTTCTTTGTACCAGGCTCTTAAGTAAAAATTTAATAAAAATAATTATTAGTTTTTTGGCATATCGTGCACTAAGCTACGGGGACGTCTTAAAAGCGTCGACAAACAACAAAAAACATGCGCGCAGCTCCTCACCTGGGCCCGGTCCTGTCGCATGTCGTTGCCAGGCGAGTGCAGGGCGTAGAAGGCCTGCTCCAGCTGCGAGCTGGCGGGTCCCGCGTCGCCCCGCAGGAGGTTGTCGGAGCTGAGCTTGCCGCGCAGGCAGGCGATGTACCGCTCGCAGAAGTCCTGGCAGAGCTCGCGCACCTTCTCCAGCTCCAGCAGGTGGATGCGGAGCACCTGCACCGCCTTGAGCATCTGAGACGCCGCGCACGCACGGGACAGCGAGTCAAGCACGAGGGTGTCACGCGAGAAGGCGCCGTTGTTGCACGGGTGTGTCTAGAACTTCTCTCGCACCGTACTTAGCAAGCCGTGCTAAGCAGAGGGTACGGTCTGCTCTAGTTTTACAGTCAGGGGCGATGTTGCCATTTTACATTTTCATGGTGTAATTCGCCGTAATACACTGCGCGCCGGTGTGTTACATCACAGCAACATTTTGCAATAAATTCAGCATGTGCCAAGTCTCGCGTGTGGAACCCAACACGCAGACACTTAAGCTGAAGGGTGTGTAACCAGGACGCGGTGTTAAGGGGGGACATAGGTAGGGCTTAGGTGTGGTCAAGCCTCTGTGAGTGGAGCCCTTACTAGAACCAACTGCATTTTGTACTTTGTGGTTATATACACACAGACAGTTGGTGCAAGTGCTGTTAGCGAGCAACTATGAAGGCCTGCACGGTACACGGGGCGTGGGCAAGCAGCACGCCCGACTGTCTTTGTCTCCGCATTGGCGATGTTTACACACCACACCAGGTACTCATCTGAGGCTGGGTCGACCTACGGGAGAGACCCACGACCAGCGCACATAATCATGGCTGGTGATGGCCGTGAGCAGGAATCGACTCGGGTCGCCGGGTTCGCATCGCAGCACGCTAACCGTTTGCACTACCACTCCCCCTCACACACACGCGCGCACTCTCTCACACAATTAAATGCCACACATTAGGAGAGAATGCGCTTACTTTTTCCGTGAACCGTTGCTCACGGAACAGCACGGGAGAATAAATCCACCACAGGTGCACACAAGTACCTGCCCACATCGCCAGCCGAATAGCCGGGCCGCGTAATTGTGGACTGGTGACACGCTCACATTATGCTCTCTTACGCAGAGCCGTCAATTATGATAACTGGGGTCATGCCGTCTCCATGGTTACACAACGTTACCCTGGTGGGGGGGGGGTCAAGCCCTCTGTGTCATTACACGTGGCCCCTGCCGTCGCAGAAGGGCCCGGCGCAACCAATTTTGCCGGCTGGAGGAAATACGGCACCAATAATTAGGCTTCCAGCATCACCTACATCATTATTATTATTATACACGTTTTCATGAATGTCCTGTAGGACCCGGTGAGGATTTAAATTTCCGTGAGGCCCCCTGTGTAATTTGCAGTCGGTGCAGCCCTCCCGCCTTGCCACAAACCCCGACATTCTATTGCAATTCAAATGGGGAGGGGGGGGAGGCTGGGGTTGGGATTTTTGGTTCTGGTTTCGAAACGCGTCGACTGCGGTTGTACGACGGCGCAAGCCGTGATTTAGTTTAATTGGCTTTGTTAAAATAATTGCAAACTAATTTGGAGCGTAAGTTTATGGGGAGTATCTGGAAATGGAGTTGAAATCTTAAATGGGTTTATTTCAATTTCATAAAAAAAATTACTTTTCTTTTTATGAATTACCACCACACATTTTTTTAAACACTCCGAAAATATGCGCTCGTAATATTGCGAGGAATAGTGAACGCAGCCTTGCGCACTGGCAAGCCACGGACTTGTGGTTTCAAAGGGCATCTTAGCCGATGTACAGTATGCATATCGCGGAAGAATGCAAAGGATTAACTACAACGATGCCCATAGTTTGGCACTGGACACTTCAGGATGGAATAACTTAATTAGCATTCAATAAATCATGATGGCCTGCTCACTAGAGACACCTAATGAGATGAGATTGGAGGATGAGACAGACGATTGGTGCCCAATTACTGCCTTGCCAACGAAAATTAATGGCAAAAATAAAAGGGCAAATATATTACACCTTACATACATCACCCGTGCTCAATCAACTGCTGGGTGAATGCCTCCCCATAGCAATTAGGTTGGTTTGCTTAAATTGTATTTATTCCAATTCTGCTACTGGCATCATGTCATGAGATGAGACTCCACTTGGAAATCTTACAGAGTCAGTGCGTCAACCCGCATGTCAGAGAGAAGGGATTTTTCGTCACGAGACAATGTGGAGGGGGAGTCACAACAGAGGTTGGTTGCCCTCGGCAGAAACTGGACCCACCATGGAAACGTGAAATTCCGCCTTCGGCTGCAAGCTTTCAGAACGTGGATGATCAACTTTTTACTTTCTTTAAAGCCGAAGGAATCACGGAAAGATTTGCATACGCTGCCAAAAAACGACAGCAAGATGGACCCGCACAAAGAGTCTAAAGAACAAGACAAGTGGGGACGACAGCTGCCTCCAGTGCTTATTTGAGAGGTGGCACGCACTTTGACCTTGCACTTTTGAATTGACTCCACTCATCAGTTGGGCGCCACGGTGGCGAGATGTTAACTACCTCGCTTTGTATACAGGACGTCACACTTCATTGAGCCATCATTTTTGGCCAGGTCGCTTCAGTGAGCCTTACCTGCGGTAAAATAACAATAGCTTAAATGTCAAATCTTGACTTAAAGCTTTCGTCACTGCAGGAATTCATATTCTTTGGGTCTTTCGTATGTAGAAAAAAATAAAAGAAAAATAATAACAATATCACGACGTTTCGATCGCAACACAAGCAATCGTCATCAGGTGAAAAGAGAGGGGGCGGGGCAGCTAATGTTAATGTTGTTTTGTTTAGTTCATCTTCTTGGTTCTTTCGGTAAAGTCACATAGAAGGGAAGTAATAAAATAATAAAAATAAAACATAATAAAATAATTCTCACGACGTTTCGGCCACAACGCAAGCAGCCGTCCTCAGGTGAAGAATGAAACACCACCAAGTTTGGAGCCTATATTTAAGCTGGGTTGGAGGGGGGAAGAAGAGCGCCTTGACAAAATAATTTGCATATCAAGAGGAATTTAGCATATTTATGGGAAATGCGTAGGAGGTGGGCGGGGGGTTTCAAAGTCATCTTATGCCCGTGCATAACCCCCCGCCCACCTCCTACGCATTTCCCATAAATATGCCAAATTCCTCTTGATATGCAAATTATTTTGTCAAGGCGCTCTTCTTCCCCCCTCCAACCCAGCTTAAATATACGCTCCAAGCTTGGTGGTGTTTCATTCTTCACCTGAGGACGGCTGCTTGCGTTGTGGCCGAAACGTCGTGAGAATTATTTTATTATGTTTATTTGTTTTATTTTATTATTTCCCTTCTACGTGACTTTACCGAAAGAACCAAGAAGATGAATCCCTGCAGTCACAAAAGCTTTAAATCGAAATAGTTTGTTTCAGTCATGGAACCGCGAGTTCCCAAGCAGCAGCACCCGGGTCCCTACCAGGCTGTCCGTGTCTCCGTTGCCACTGAAGAGCTCGCTCTGCGTGCCCAGCATGGCCTGGATTTCGGCGGAGAGGCCGGCCGACGTGATGCCCTCGGCCCCCTGCGTGGCTTCCTCGCAGCGCAGCATCATGAGCCGCAGCAGTGGGAAGAGAGGGTGGCTGGAGTGGGGGGGGGCACGGAGACACAGCCACTCGATCGCTGCATCCATTGTCCATCCGTCAATTCGTCTGTCGATCTACTCAAGTATCCTATGGCGTATCTAGCCATCAAGTCTGTCTGTCAGCATTATATATCGATATGTCAGTCATTCTGCAGGGACTGACGAGACTACATCTCCTCTAATTTTGTATTTGTAGAGGGCGGCCTTCACCCCAACAAGGCACTTGATATAGTTGGAAAAAATGGTGACCGCATAGAATATTTTTCATACTCTTTGGTTTTTTCGGTATAGTCACGTAGGTAAAAATTAATTAAATAAATGTAATTTCGTTGTTTTCATTTACTTTATTTAATTTTATTTACCTACGTGACTTTACCGAAAAAAACAAAGAGTATGAATCCTTGCAGTCACGAAAACTTCAAATCTAGAAAGAATATCTTTCGTTTAGATGACAAGGGCGTGCAACGACTGAGGAATGAGCGGCCGCCACTACAAAAATAATTTCAACATTAATCTCGCGGTCTCGGACTCCATTCTTGCCTACCTCTCTCTCTCCATCTCATCTCACCCTACATCTCACTCTCATCTTACTCTACTTCGCACCACACAAACTCCGCTCCGACAATCAAGACTTTCCGCCGATGCCCACCGTCGACCTTTGCCCGGTGGGAGGTCGCTCATTTCCCTCTGCTGCCCCCATACAGTCTGAAACTCCCTTCCCCCAGCCGTCCGTGCTGTGGACTCCCTGTCCCTGTTCAAGTCGAGGCTCACTGTGAATCCAGGTCTCTCTTAAAATAACTGTGGCCTCAAAAGGCTACGACCTGGTCATAAATAAAAGTCATCTGTCTGCTTTTGTGAAATAATTCCATCAAGATTTTTAAAAAATATTAATTCATTAATTAATTGTATAATCCCGTGAGATAGTTAATCTTGTGATGTGAGGGTGTCCACGATGTCACGTGACACAGCAAACACTAAATTACACGTATTACAAACATTTTTAACTGTACAACATACGCAGTACAGATGTGTACGACGTCAAATACGTGTATGCAGTGACAAGCGCAGCACCAAGACAAGCCAAGGCAGTGCGCATCAACATCACACAGCATTCACACAAATCGTTATTATTATCACAACACTTGATTACCCAGAAAAGCCTCACCGGATCTCAAGAGGGCCCTGCCAAGTTTTTGCATTAGGGGGCAACGTTGCTCTGTATAATCCCGAATGAGTAAATTGCAGGTAATTTTTCAGCATTGGGATGTTTAACCAATACCAGTTTAGTTTATTTTTGTAATTTTAACCATGGGAGGAAACCGGATAACCCAGGGCAGGAGTCGGCAAACCTGCGATTCCGGAGCGCTATGCGGCTCTTTAAGGACGGCTTCACGACGTCGATTATTCAGGCCCACCAGTCTTGTGGTCACCCCCACAATGCATTGCTGCGGGCTCTTGAAATACTGAGGGTTTTGTTAACCGAATTCGAACACAAAAAAATGGCTCTTCTTGTTATTTTGGTTGCCCGACCCCTGCGCCAGGGCAAAAACCGACACAGAACAGGTGGAGAGCATACAGAGTGCCCGAGTCGGCAACCGTACCAAGGCACGTCTTGCGGTGAGGCACGAGTTGGTACAACTGTGCCTCCCTGCCGCCCTCCGAGATCCCTTAAAGCAGAGGTCGCAAAGGGGTTTTGATTCCTTACCCGTACCCGACCGCGTCAGCGTCACAAATGGGTACCCATACCCGGCTGGGTACGAGTACCCGTTCCCTACCCGTACCCGTACCCTACCCGAAATGAGTGACAAACGGTTACTCACCAGTGACTCACAGCCTACCCGTACCTGGCCGCACAAGGGTCGCAAACGGCTACCCGTACCCAGCTGGGTACGGGTAACCGGGTATCGTGTAGGGTACGGGTATCGGGTACCCGGTTGCGACCTCTGCCTTAAAGTGACCTCTGGCCCACGCAGTAGAGGGCGGCACGTTCCCACCTGCTCTGCACGTGACGGTCACGTTCGTTGCATGGACAGTCAAAGTCACGTGTTTAATTCTCATAGGGATGGAATTAGCCAAATTAAGTGCATAAGCAAATCTAATGTCAGGAATTTTTTTTAACGAGCAGTCGTTGGGTGACAAGAGTTGAGCTCATCAACTCACTGCACTTGAGAAAAGAGTTTCGGAATCAGCATGTTTATTTATACTGGAGAAATGTGATGGGCTACAATAAGCTATCTTTCACAGATGTCCAGTAATCACAGGCACCTTGGCCGTCTTGGACCTGTTCTTGTCTGTGTACACATATCACAGGCGGCTGAAACCTCAGGATCTGTGGTGCCATCTCGGTGTATAATTGGAGAACCATGAGCATTCCTCCACAGGGACCGTGGGCTTACGGCTTGCAATGGCCGGGTCACAAACGGCAGGAGATTCATCACGTCTCAAAGTTAGCCGTTTTGGGCGTCCTATCACATTTGCAAGATGCATCGTTAATTGAACTGCGTGTGGTTCTTAGCGGTCACGACCTCAGTTTGTCAACATTAATTAGACATTAATTGAATTATTCACTTTAAAACAGCTGCCCATGACCCTTACTATCTATGAGACCGGCTCTAACCCTCCTTCTTTAAGGAATCAATAAGGTGTTTTGCTTCAAATGAATTATTGATTTTTGAGGAATATTACGATCTTTTAAACGTGCAGCAATGGCTGCGATTGTAATGGAAGACATTACCGCACACACCATGGCAACACCTTCCACAAATGGTGCCACCGCATCTATTTATATCAAGGTGAAATACGAGGTGCGTAACAGTGTCTGACTTATCGATTAAAAAAAAAACCTTACAGCTGAACCTTGACCTGAGGACCTGACCTCGACAGATTAAGTGACTGTTTCTCATCTGCAGAGTCAGGAAATCTCGCGAAGCTTCATCGCCACTCACCGGTTACCTGTAAATTGAGTTCTTGTCTGCGTCCATCTGAGCTTTTGGGTCCAAAGGCTTGGTGGAGTCCTCGCTCCTGCCCAACATCAAAGGCGCGTCGCTCGCCGACTCCTCCATTCGCGTTGCGTCCTGCCACGCAGCGGGCCAACGGGAGGGCATCAAACGGGGGCACCACAGCTCGCCATCACTGCTCATCCTACGCTAGTAAGAGGGCGCCACCATGGCGAGACGTTAACTACATCGCCTGGTATGCAGGAGTTCGTGGGTTCGATCCAAACCCCGATACTTGCATATTTGGAGTTTGCATGTCTCTCTCCCTGTGGTCACGTGGATTTTTCTCCGGGTCCTCCGGTTTTCCCCTCCACATTTAGAACCAACGTTGCGTTTAGAGTATTTGCCTGCTATAAATTTCTACGTTATAAGCCACTTGGCTGTCATTAAATGTGGCCAGGTGGCTTCTGCAAAAATAGCTAGAAAAGCTCCGTGGGCCTTACCTGGAAAAAAATAAAAGTTTGGTTTAGCTTCAGTGGTGGCCAATACGCCAAGCACTGTGATCCATTGTGGTGGATCATCTCAACGGGTACCACGATCCACCAAAATCTACGACCAAAATTAGCCCGGATTGAACCCTATAGTGCCCATGGCACGCTACTTTGTTCAATGAGATTCCTTTTCTTTTACAAAAAAAGTTTTCCCCCTCCTGCTCTGCCACACAATGCACTGCGTTATGTAACATGTAACAAACGTGCAATTGAAGCGTGCGACGCAGAAACCCGCCGTCATTTTTGACAAGTCTTGAAACCTGCTAACGAGTTGCCCATGAACAATCTATAATCATTATTATTTAAAAACTCAGTCATTGCAAACACGTGTCCTGTGTTTGCGTTCCTTAAAAGTTTTTTTATATCCGAATGCAAAAAGAAAAAAGTGAAAGAACATCAGGGATGCATCGTGTTTTATTGACATTCAGTGCATCATTAGCTCGGCCTGACTTAGGCTTCACCCTATGCATGATAAACTCTTTCCCATTCCGTACACGTACGTACACGTACGTCATCATAACGGAATCGTAAGAACACATAAAATAACTTTATTGGGACGTATTCAGGTCCCACAAGGCCATGCGAGAGAGAGTGCAGCACAATTGGTCGTGCCGCTACGGTTCTCTGCGGTGAGTACAATGTCTATAAAAACAATGGTGCTATGCCTCTCTGAATAAAATTAACACGAACCAATTGCGAACGGGACACCCACCCTGCAACTTGCAGACGTCTCGGAACGGGAAAGGGTTAATTAGGCCCGGGCGCAGGCCCGACCATGTGCATGACTAGCTAGGCCCGACACGAAGCCTCGACACCACTCAGGACCGACTAGGCCCTGGAACAGGTCACGAGTAGGCCTCCAGATACAGCACGCCTCCTTCCCCACTCCATAACAAAGGTCTACTCGGCCTTGTGTTGTAAATGTTATACTGTTCTACATACTTGAAATCGTCATTATCAAATTCAGCAAATAATTTACATTTTGGCTTTAGCAACTCTAGGTTTATGTTGTAGAAGACAGATATGTGATTTGAGGTACAGATGACAATGGATAATTCATATATCTGAGCTCCACGGTACACGCATCTCACCGCTCGGCACATTACACGACTCCGAGCTGTGAGTCACGTGTCCAGATGGAAAGCAATCCACACGTTGGCCACCACTGTCTTATGCCGTATCGACTGGCATAGCCGAGATATGAGCCGGCACGAGGCTCACTCGGCACAGGTGGTTTTCAACTGGCTACTTGCTGTGCTCGGCCAAAAATCTAAACCATGATAACTGGCCTCACAAGACATCTGTATCTGGCTTGGCGCCAAGCAAGGTTAAAGGGCCAGGTTAAATTTTTCTGTAATTACCTGCAACGTCAAACGGTGCACTTGAACGAGAGATGCCGACATTGTACGTTCATCACGTGCGACATTATAGTAGCACGGTTTCGGTTCTGAAGCGGAAAAAAAGCAACCTGGTGCATTCTGAGACATTTTGTGCTGGCTTAATCAACATGGCCCTGGCACGCCTTGGTTGCCGTGGAAAAAGAGGCATTCCAGGTTTGATCCGGCCTCAAGTCTGTGGAACATTTGAATAGCAAGCCAAAGGGGTTGGTGTGCCGCTACCACATCATAAATCTGGCGGGCATGCCCTAAGAGTGACAGACGTCTTTTTGAAATCTCAGTTCCAATGTTGGGAAATCCCGTCGGATTCTCTGCGGCTTTGTAAGTGATGCTCATACCATCGCACCGACATCAGAGCTCAGGTACAAACACAGCTTCTCACGTGCAGTGAGCTTGATAATCTCAGCCCAGCCTCTGATGAATGCATGGCGCCCTCGGCTGCTCCCAGATTCAAAGGGATCATTAATCTGTGTCAGATTCCCAACAAGCCAAATGCTCACGCGCGCAGATATAATTCAAGTTTTAATACAGTCCCAAATTTAATATTGCATTACGATCATTTACATTTGACATCAATGGAGGCTTTATTTTAATATTTATATAGTCCTGTAATGAAACTGATGGCACAAGCCTCGGATGTGAACTTCTCCAAACGTCAACCATTGCTTAAGTCTCCGTGATAATTCGTCGAATTGAAATTTTCCACCTCTGTGGCTGCTCTGTGGCTTTTAAAAGAAGCGTCGCTTTACGTCTTTTCGCAACAGCAACCCCTTTTTTCCATGGGCGGGAGAATTGTCTGCACGGAGCAGTGCCACCTCGTGACACATCGGTGCAGGAAAGTGAAGGGGGAGAACGCCGGATGTCACCTCGGACGCAGTCGGGAATTTGAGGAAAGGTTCCCTTTTTAAATCCTTTATATTAAGTTCACTTGCTTGCTTGCGCGCTTACGACCGTGCAAATCTTTCGGTCGTTTTTTAACCCACTTCCCGTGATCCAATCGAGCTGACATTTTGCACACAGACTCGTTGTGCGTGACAATCTATTTTCGTGAGAAAAAAATTTACTAAATTTTACACATTTTAGGAAAAAATAAATTATATTTAATTACCAATTGCTTAATGGTGGCAGGCAATCATCTGACCCATAGGTGGCAGCCATCTCACGCCAGAGGACGAGAGGACTCTAGCCGCCACGCATATAAAGGATTTATAGTGAAAAACTTTGTTTTTACGGGTTAATTTTTTAAACTCTCGTGCCACACCTGCGATGCTACGAAGCCGACCCACTCAGCGTTAAGACTTTTGAAACGTTGTTCTGTGCGGCATAAGACGGTACAACATTCTCACGCCCAGTGCTCCCTATTAACCAGTCAAATTAGTAATTCGCTGCTCAAATGAGTACTGCATCGAGGTGGTGCTCACCTCCTGTCTAGAGCCACTAGCAGAAGTTCCACGTTACCATGACGGGAACATGTCTCTCCATCGGACGACAGGTTCACTTCTCCCTTCAACAACGTGGCGCTCATCTTAGGCACGAGTCAACTGCCACAAAAACCAGGACTTGAATTCGCAACGTCGCTTCCCCATTCCTATTGACAATATACATAGATTCGACCTTCAACGATCTATCCGATGCGTCACATTCGGAAGGTTTTTTTTAGTTACCCACATGACACCCCACCACAGGCGAACCTGCAAAATTGCATCAGGAGCGGTCTCATGGAGCAGGAACGCGCAGAACGGTAACCACGTGGATATGCTCCGGACTGCAACTCTTAGTGAGGCAATTGATTAATTGACGGGGCCAAACTGGCGCATCTCACTTGTTCACTTAAACTAAGCCGCTGCGTTTATTCTCCAATCGCTGGGAGGTCTGCGCCGTCACAACGAATTGGACAGGCATCAGATCAACACGACGACGTAACGTTAAAAAAGGACGATAGTTTTAGACGCCGGGGAGAGTTCGGGTGCGCGTGCATGTGCATGTGTGTGTGCGTGTGTGTGTGTGCATGTGTATGTGCGTGGGGAGCGGTAGTGTAGCGGTTAGCGCGCTGCTCTATGAACCTAGCAACACGAGTTCTATTTCCGCTCACGGCCAACACCAGTGACGATTATTTGAACCGGTCCCGGGCCTCCCCTCGGTCAACTCAGCCTCAAATGAGTACCTGGTGCGGTGTGTAAACAATGCCACTAGGGAGACAAAGGCGGTCGGGCGTGGTGCTGGCCACCCACCCCCTCGTGTACCGTTCCGGCCTTCATAGGTGCTCGCTAACAGCACTTGCCCCTACAGTCTGTTAAGGCTATATGGGGGATCTTTGTGTGTGCGTGTGCGCGTGTGCGTGGGGAGTAGTGCTTTGGCCAGTCATCTTAGTGTCAGTCGACCCATGGCACTTGGGTCTGCCCTGTGACCTCCTGCCAGTGGGCGTTCGACACTTCACGTGGCCTTCACGTGCACATAGCCTGGCACACGGTGACGTCACCGCCACTTTGCGGCGAATGGCGGTTGTTGTGGGAAGCAGTAGCCTAGCAGGTAGCACACTGCACTACGAAACTGGCGACCCGAGTTCGATTCCCGCTTACAGCCAACACCCAGTGACGATTATCTGAACCGGTCCTGGGGCTCCCCTAGGTCGACTCGGCCCCAAATGAGTGCCTGGTGCGGTGCGTAAAAACATCGCCACTAGGGAGACAAAGGCGGCTGGGCGTGGAGCTGGCCACCCACCCCCTCGTGCGCCGTTCTGGCCTTCAAAGGTGCTCGCAAACAGCACTTGCCCCAACAGTCTGTTAGGTCTATACGGGGGATCTTTGTTTTTGCGTGTACGACACACGACTTACATCTTGACAACACGTTCTATGTTCTCCTTGGCAGCGCAGCGGTAGAGAAACGTGGCCATTAAAACTTAAAGGTGCGCCAAGAAGCATGGGGAGATGTAAATTTCGATTGAATGCTTTCGTGACTGCAGGGATCCATCTTATTGGTTCTTTCAGTAAAGTCACGTAGAAGGGAAGTAATAAAATAATTTTAAAAAAAACGTCGTGAGAATTATTTTATTATGTTTTATTTTTATTATTTTATTACTTCCCTTCTACGTGACTTTACCGAAAGAACCAAGAACATGGAGAGATGCACGCATGCTTGGAATTACGTTGAGAGCCAGGAAGATGTCGATAATTATAAAACATGTGCAGGC